CAAGATAAAGGGGCACATGAAGATCACAAAGTCTACAGGTGCTTCTATGATCAAGTATTTTCATAACCAGGTGCTTCTCAAGACGGAAAAATTACTTGTGAGCTACTTGGTGCGTCAGGCGCGACGGAACATGGCGGTCGACACGAGCTGTTAAGGAGTACGCACGTGAACTGTATGCTGCAGTGTCACGAAAGATGGGAATTACAGAGCCCAAACCCTTTAATGCTTCCTCTGGGTGGTAACAGAGGTTTAAGATGCGGAACAAGATCACCAATATAAACATTGGTGGTGAAGAAGCTAGTGCTGACTGTGCTGCGGCTAGGGAATTTCCTCCATTTTTACGTGAGATTATGGAGGAAGGACAGTACAGTGACGACCAGGTGTTTAACATGGACGAATCTGGTCTTTTTTGGAAAAAGCTACCTTCCAAGACCTTCGTTGTGAAGAATGCCAGCAAGATTCGGGGCCGGAAGATGCAGAAGGAGCGCATCACCGTCCTGTTTACCACCGATGCCTCCGGTACCTGTAAGCTCAAGTTATCGGTGATCCACACAGCCCGCAAGCCGCACGCCTACAAGAGCATGGACATGACCAAGCTAAATGTCCACTGGCTGACCGCACGTAAGGGGTGGATGTTCTCTACACTGTCCCTCTCCTGGTTTGATGACTGTTTCGTTCCCGATGTAAAGAAATTCTGTGAGCAACAGAATGTGCCATTCAAGATTTTGTTGCTGCTGGACAACGCACCAGGACACTCGCCCCTACTGTTAGATCGTCACCCCAACGTAAAAGTGGTCTTCCTTCCTCCCAACACTACGTCTATATTACAGCCCATGGACCAAGAGTTAATCTGTAATGTAAAAGCTGCATTCTCAACAAAAAAATTCCAGCTCCTGAACGACTACACCAACACCAGGGAAGAGTTGCGTAACCTGAGTGACACCACCACCGATAGCAAGAGCGAAGAAGACGAGGATCAACAGTTGGCAGAGCAAAAAATACTTTTCAAACAATTCTGGAGAATATTTAACATCAAGAAAGCTGTGGACTTCTTGGTGGAGGCATGGGATCAGCTGTCTGTAGCAACTGTTCGTCACGCATGGAGACATGTGTTGCAAGGCATTCCGGGCATAAGGCAGAGTCAATCTGTGACTGGTGAGGTTCAGACTGTTGCAGTAGCAGTGGACCTTGCCAGAGAAGCTGTGCAGTGTTACAGCTGCAGGCTTCTCCGAGACCGCCAACAACGACATCCTGGAGGTGATAAGGGATCCTGATGTGACTACCGACGAGATGGTAGATGATGATGACGTCAGTGAAGAGGCAGGTGGTGCGTCATCCCAAGAAGAACACCGCTTATCCCATGGTAATGTTAGGGGTGCCATCGAGTGTGTCGAGAAAATCAAGCTCCTCCTTTCCGACGACCATGACGCAAACAGGTATGAAATCTTCAATACCCAGCTGTTGCAGACTATGGAGCCCTACTTCAAGGTTTATCACAACAACATAAACACCAGCCATCAGCAAAGCATAACAGAGTTCTTCGCCCACAACCCACCACAGCCAGCCCAAGCCAGTGATAGTGACAGAGGTAGAGACAGTGAAGATGACTTTGAGGGATTTGTCAGGGAGGCCCTGACAAGTGTGAATGACAGTGATGGTGACTAACCTGAGGGCCAGTAGCCTGCCCTCTGCCTCGGAACCAGCCTCCATCCCCGTATGCCGACCCATCTCTTCTACTAACGTAAGTGTTCAACCTAACTTTTAATTTTCCTAACCTAACCTTTATTTTTCCTAACTTAACCTTTATTTTTCCTAACCTAACCTCTTCTATATTAATTGTTTGTGCATACCATCATAAAGTTAAGATAAAAGTTTTACTACAACATAGTTGCGTGTCGTCAAAAAGTGGAGTTTGGGGGTCGGCCCGGTCTCTATTTCAATTAATCCCATATGTTATGTTGTTCACTTTACGCGGTACCCTGTGGGTTATATTAACCGCGTAAAGTGAGGGTTGACTGTATATATTATATGAATTTTGTAGTATAGTGCACTATCCGCTATAAACATACAAGAAGTTTGGGCGATCGAATCATAAGTCAATGGGATGAAGTACAGTATCTAATATTGACCTTAAAATATGTCCTAATATCCACTGCATATAGCCAAAAAGAGTCCCTGAAATTGGTTAAAATTAAAAAAAAAATTGGGGTGGCAGACTTACTGTGTTGCCCCCCCCCCAGCTACACCACTGGTTGCAACCCAAGCTTACCAGGCAATGGATGATGCTATAGCATACTGGTCACATACATGTACAGTATATTGTATCTTCAAGATATTGCTTAGAATTAATGTTTCAGAGAACCTGGGTCAGCAGCTCTTGATATTCCGTGTTTGCCAGTGTCAAATGAAGAGATGGAGCGAGTGTTTAGCCAAGTACAGGGGGTCCTCGACTCACGAACGCCCGCTGATACCAACAGGGTTAAACTTGAAATTTACAGTATTTTATTTACCCTCATGGCTTATTTTTTACTTTCATTTACTGTATTTTGACATTCTTTTTCTTCTTTTATCTTAAATAAGTGATTTTAGATGTATATAAGGACTTAGGCTACGATATAGTGGGATTTTAAACATTGTTCTGTAAGTAAGGTATGTAACTAGCATGTTTTCCAACATGTGTACAAATCTGACATAAGAACGTCATCAGGAACAGAACCCATTCGTAACCCGAGGACCCCCTGTACAGTAAAGGTACTGTAAACGGATCTTAGAAATAGACTTAGCATGGAAACTAGCAGACCTGTTTCACATACAATTTAGTATAATGGGAGAGAACAAGCATCAATGCTGTTAGAAGTTCCAGGTTGATGATGTAATGTTAAGGATATTTAATGCAAGTAATATGTACCGACTACTAAATAAACAAGAAAAAATCTTTAATTTTGACTTTAGATGTGTACAGAAGGTTGCCAAACAGTTTAAGGTCATTGACATTTTTTTTTTATTCAGGAGTCCAAATATGTTTTAGTTCTAAAATATAAGAAATTATATTAATTGAAAGCAATTATGTCAGAATAAGGTGAATGATTTGGGGGGATTCTGGCAGGTTTTTTCTGTACTGCCAAAATCTGAAGTCCCCTCATAAAATTCTGGAACTGCCCCTGGATAATATTAGTAATGTAGCCAAAGTACTCAAGGAAAAGCTCCAGCTTGAATGTTAAAATGCACATTATGAGGTGAAATGAAGCTGGTGAATGTCAGGCTAATATCAGTCAAAGCTTGGGTTTGGCTACATCTATGATAAGAATACTTTTGAAGATTAAGGACAAGGGAAGAACTGTGCATTCTACCTCTTCATTAGTTTCAACCAAGGTATCTCATTCAAGGAGTACAGGGGGTGTATTTTAATGGAGAAGATTGAATGTAGGTTGGGCATGTAAATAAATGACACGACAGCAATATTCTATATGCCACTAAGCCAACTGATCATTATGAAGAAGGTTTGGAACATTTTCACCCACCTGCAGGAACAAGAGACCTTCCGGGCCAGTAGAGGTTGGTCCGAGAACTTTAAGTTTCACAGTTAAAACTTTAACAGGTTGCAAATCTCTGGTGAAGCAGACAGTACTGATGAGCAGGCAGCATGCGTTTCCCAACACCTCGATAGCTGTCACTGACCATGTCACAGCCTGGCCCATCCTCATAGCAGCAGCTCCTCCTACCTTATTACCCAACACTGTCTTTTGCTAGTCTGACTAAATGTACTGGTAAGTACAATGCTGTATTTTTTAATTAAAATTTATTGTTTTTACTTAAAATTTTATCTAACATTAACATGTTAATACAATCATTACTTGTGATTTAAGGTAAGCCAATATCATTACAGTATTATAATGAAATTACTGCCCCACCTCCATTTTAAGTCTGCATGTGCAAAGCATAAATTAAATTATGGCATACTCCTATATCTGTAATCAGCATTGTTAACTGTATTAAACTATACTACCTGCAGAATGCTTCACCGTGTTCTGGTTCTGCAGTAACAGTCACCTCATTTGTGGTAGATTCTGAATAGTATATCCATTATTTCTTCACATCTACACTACTGTATTTGCATCTTTTTCCAATTGGATTTTTTTTTTCAATTGCAATCAGTAACAACAATTACTGGTGAAATAAATATTATAAAAGATTCTTAGAATTTATTTAGAATCTCAATGTCGAAACAATGCAAACGTCCAGTCATAATAATTATCCTTTGAATTAGAACAGTTAAACAAAAAGAATGAACATGGCTATATAACTAAGTATATTACAGTACACCACAAAGGCAGAGATGCTGAGAAGTATAAAACAGTTGCACAAAGGCTTGTAGTTTGTAACACACACTGATACAGGTCATGATTATGGCTCAGGATTATTTACTGATTACACTTGAGAAGAGTTTATTATAATAATTAACATGTCTTATTATCTCTTACTGATGTGTACACAAGGGATAAACAGGCTTCCTGTACACTGCATGAGGAAGCAAGACTGGGATTTGCCTCTCAATGACTGACCTGTAGCAAGGGCTCAAGGCCACATTGTCCAGGGGTGCAGGGATCTTACTGGTGGCTGTTGGGGCTCTGCACCAATGTATTTAGACCTCTGTGTGAGCGCTCGAGTGCGCATGCATGTTGAATGTGTGTGTGTGTGCGCGCATGTGAATGTGTGTGTGAGATTATATATATATATATATATATATATATATATATATATATATATATATATATATATATATATATATATATATATATATATATATATATATATATATATATATATATATATATATATATATATATACTGTATATATATATATATATATATATATATAGAGCCTATATACCACCAGCCACTTCCTTGCAGCAGCCTGGAATGGCTTGGCCTTGAAAAGCTTGGCATGAAGGAGCTTATACTTTGGACTGACAACAGAACATCAGCTTCAAATTGTAAAAACAATATGGAAGGTTATACTTGTGATATACAACATTTGACACTTCCTAAGAGATGTATTAATGAACAAGGTAACAAGAGAAAAACTTAGATCCTATTCCACAAGAAAATAATATATTTATACCAGATTGAAGCAATCAACATCTATTTCACAATCAAAAGTATTTCCAAATTCAGTTTTTTTCATGTCTATAATCATAAATATTAACATAGCATAATAACCACTTTCAACGCACATTCACATATTTCTCATGGGTATTAAGAGCTACAAGAGAAAAAAGTTAAGGGCTACTTGCATGTTCAAAATTTACACCAACCAGCAAAGTTTTATAGTGAAAAATGAGTGAGAGCGATTACAGGATGTTAAACCGTATTTCTGTTTTGGTTTTTGTGTCAACACTTAAAACATGGGAAATTGAGAAGTGATGGTTGATGGATCCTAGCACACAGCGAGCAAGGCCCATAATTTTCTTGGGGAGGGATGGGAGGGGGATGGGGCTCCGATAGGCCCAGCATGCTACTCGCTGGGCCCCGATGCCTTGTTTCCACGCGAGAAATATGACTAGGACACTTTGGTTTGGAAAAAGGCATAAAATTTGTTTTTAAACACGACTTATTATTAGTAGTTATCTTTTATATAACACTTAATATGGCAGAATTGATAAATATGAATCCTACAGTCTCACATGACAAAACAGTTGCATGTATGAAAATTACCATCAAGAAGAAAACGTCCATTAGCAACAGGATCATCTTTAACATGTAATGGTACTGTCAGAGGGACTGAATTACATGAGGATTAATAGTCCTGGAAACAGGTTGCTTCTCTGATGCATGTACACCACTCCCTCTGTAGAATATGGCTTAACACTACATGGTATTAAACTTATAGAAATTACATTTTGAGGAGCCACAGAACAATGATCAAGAGATGACAAGCTACCATTCTAACCTAAGAGAATTTGGGAGTCTAGATGAGAATGAGGATATATTGCACACAGGCCAAAATGTATTGCATCCTTAATGTCACATTGATGGCAGATATTCAGGAAAAGCTTGCCAACAGTCCATTGGACCAATACACAGGCTGCTGTCTTGCTACAGAGGGGGTTTTAGAGAGGCTGTACGACAGTCTGTAAATATTCAAGCATGCTATACACAATAATAAAGAAAAACTATTTACATGATTTTGTCAATGTATGAACAGGTTCACTTAGATAATGTGAGTAATGTTTCATGTAGACGTATCATTGTTAGTATGTGACACAACCTGGACAGACACTGCAGCTGGTGACTCCTGGTCATTATGGCCTTGCTGGAGGGTTCACACAGTCACATTTCACACCACTGTGCTAACACCTGTCCACTGGCTATCCATCAAAGCTGGGGCCTTGGAAAGGCTCACCATCAATGGCAGCCCTGGCAGCTCCATGGGAACACTCATGGTCCTGTCTTATGTCATCACCAACACAATGGGTAAGGAGGGTGTAACTGAAATCCAACAGTGTAGGCAACACAGAGGGTGGTAGTCTGACAGTGTACTGGAAAGGACACTGGAGGGGGTTAGGTGACCGGGTCATAAGTCTCTAGCAGCAGCAGCTTGGTGCTGGTGACCTGGGGCCGGCCAGGCCGCATCTGCCACTCTTTCTTGCACCCTCTGTGGTGGCAGCACTGATGGGCCCCCAAGATCACTTGGCCCGCGACCTGGCCTAGCCCAGCCCAGCCCTGGCCGACAGTAGCAATGTTAGCGGCAACGGCTTGGCAGGATGTCCAGTGGGGTTGGCTGGCCAGTGGGGCCCACCAGGGGCTGAGGCAACACTTGCATCACAACCAATAACTGGCCAGACAGCCTCACCCTGCTTAGTCACCGCACACTTGAGATCAGCATGATGTTTACATTTCATCACCTACATTCACACACCAAGCCAACCTGAAATAATAACTAAACTATAAATTATGTTTATACTGCATAGTGCCTGTTGGCTTTATATACAATATTTTAAATGACCATAGAATTGAGATAATATACCTGGTATATATATATATATATATATATATATATATATATATATATATATATATATATATATATATTACTAGAGCTGAACTTTCACTTAACACGGATTTTTCCACATATACGCGTGAGTGTCCGCCGAGACGCCTATTTCCAGATTTGCCCCAATTACCACTCTCTGCCTGACTGCCTTCCGTTTTAGCCGCTCATAAAATTCACAGTAAATTATTTCGCCAGAATATACTCTACATTGCTGGAATTTTATAATTTCAGGATTATTTTGAATATAAACATCATATATTTTGCATTAGACATACAAATTTTAGATAAAATTTTTTCTCTGAGTAACTATGTTATCTTTTGTGCAAAATATATGACATTTATATTCAAAATATTCCTGGTCTTACAAGGAATCCTGCAATGTCAATTATATTATCTTAACTTTAATCTGAGGTATTATTTAATACAAAATGTTAAAATTTATTTTT